TAACAAAAAGACACTATATTTCTATGTGTAAGACTGGCCTCTTTGCCAGAGCTGAGGAATGCATAGTATATACAAGCCAAGTGATAAGGAAGGGGGTTGGACAGACTGTCTAATGCTAATGGAATATAATCAAATCTAAACCCAGACAATTGTGACAGAGAAGATTAAATAATAAAATTTAACTGTCTATATATATATAAGGTACCATTGTATGGAAAAGGGTAAACTTAGTTCATGATCTGCCATATCAGAAATTATAGCAGATTTGCCAGACACATAGTCTGGACAAAATTTAAGAAACCCTTTGATCTTTGAAGGATACGTAAGTTATAGCCACTATCTAGATAGGCCAAAATGACGTCAAAATAGTCACCAGGAAAAGTTAACTCTTTCCTGGATAGGTATGTTTAGTGGGACAAGACTGCCCTCTACAGACCAAATAACTAAATTGCGATCTGGAAGATAACCACACCTCTAGTGCTTCTATTGGGTTATCAACTGATGACGTACAGAGAGTCTGGCCCTTTAAAAGTTAAGACAAAGGGAAGAAGAGGCAGATCCAAGAGATATGCAAAGAAAAAGAGGAGAGAGGAATTGGAAGTTGGGGACTCCAAGCTCCATGCAGAGAGAGACATCCAAATAAGTTCCTGAGACTACCAATCGGATGAAATATCTACTCAACTGGTAATTATACTGGTTTCATTTAATTTAATTAAATTAATTAAAATGTATTAATAGCATTATATATGACTGGATAAAGCACGGTCAGATTTCCATATTAAGAAATCTTAGTTAACTAAGAATATATAGTTATAAACATTCCATTCTGCAGGTGGAATTAAGAATAATTATATATTGATGTGATATTATCACGTGTTAGCATACCGCTGTTTTTATCCAGGTGTATTGATTTGCTCTAAATTAAGATAAGATATCTTTTAGACAAATTAAAATCTGCTTATATAATATGGTAGATTCTCTTATTGGATGGTTTCAGGAAATGACTAATGAACTGGTTTAAATGTTATTTTATTTAAAAATTACATAAGAATAGATCTTAACTACCTAGGAGATCTAGCCAGCATTGAAAGGGTTATTCTAACTGTCAGCTAAACTTTACGACCTTACGCTGCACTCTGAGGAATTCTGTTCTTCGCTGTGAAAAGTTTCACTTTCAGCCTGTGTTAAAGATAGTCATAAATAATTCTTGACAGGAAATGCTATTTAGCCATTGTAACGTAATACCCATTTCTTTGTATTGCATATAATTTTGTACTGGATATTCATTGATTATTGTCATGCATGTTACATAATATTATTTGTTAATTATTGGTTATCATAAATAAAATCTATTTTTATACATTGTGATTTTAATTATATGAAATACTTTCACTTAACACGATAAACGATATTTGGGATCTGAGAATTGAATTAGTGGGCAATTCTCAACTGTTTACTATTATTATCCCATAAATATCCCCACAAACCAACACCACTTTTATCTATTCCCATACAATCCCCATCATACTTGCATTCAAATTCCTGGGACCTATCTACACATCTGATAAGAAAATCTACAACCTAACTGGTAATTATGCTGGTTTTATTTAATTAATTTAAATTAACTAATTTTACTAATAGCAGGAATATATATCTGGATATATCTTTGTCAGATTTCAATCATTAGAAATCTTAGTTAGCTATGGAATATATGGTTATAAAAATTCCATTCCTGCAGGTGGAATGGAGATAACAATATATTAACGGTAAAATTTGCCACGTGTTAGCATACCGATATTTTTATCCAGATGTATTGACTTGTTCTGAAATAAGATAGTGAATCTTATTTAGGAAAGTTAAAATTCAGCAATTGTAAAATCTGTTAGAATTATTCCTTTTGGATGGTTGTAGGAATGGTAAATGATCTGGTATGAACAGTACTTTAAATGGAAACTCCAGGTCTCCTCTCCCTCCCACCTCCCATCCCCGGTTGCTGAAGGGGTGAAAACCCCTTCAGTCACTTAACAGAGGCAGTGACGATGTCCCACGCCGCTCCTCCAAGTGATTGCGTCGGCCGGTGGGTGAGACTGATCCCGCCCACCGGCCGGGGAGACCTAATGCGCATGCGTGGCAATGCCGAGCATGCGCATTAGCACTCCCCATAGGAAAGCATTGAAAATGCTTTTCAATGCTTTCCTATGGGGAAATGAGCGACGCTGGAGGTCCTCACACAGCGTGAGGACGTCCAGCGACGCTCTAGCACAGGTTTCTTGTGCTAGGGACACGGAAGTGCCCTCTAGTGGCTGGGAGTGGGAGTTGGCACCCAGACCACTCCAATGGGCAGAAGTGGTCTGGGTGCCTGGAGTGTCCCTTTAATTGTAAAGTTACAACATAATAGGATATATTGCCTTTGAGGATTGTGAACGGATAATTTCAGTGCAGTCTGACTGTTAGCCAAAGTTTTATTGCTTTAGGCTGTGCTGTGGAGTTCCATTTTCTGTCTGTGAAGTTGGTTTCTAAACAGTACCCTATCATAAATCATAAATCTTTTGACAACTGGTCGCTTTTAGATGCTGTATTGTGTTTAAACCATTGCCATATTGTATGCCATATTGTATGCCTATGTTATACATACATTTTCACTGATTGTTGTCACTGATATTATTATTTTTTTATTATTATTGTCACAATAAATTATATTTTTATAATGCAATTGTGATTACTGTGTGAAGTAAAATCCTCTAATGAATTCATCTAAGATCTAAGAGAATTAAAATTATGAGTAATTCTCAGCTTTATATTATCATTTTTCGGGGAACCGCACCAAGATATCAATTTTGATAATTTGTATGAAAATATTATTTTAATATTTATCACCCCATAAATATCCTCACAGTTCACAATCATTGCCTGGCAATTATAGACCTGTGAGCTTAACATCTGTGACTGGGAAAGTATTTGAAGGGCTATTAAGGGATAATATTCAGGAAATTATTGGGAAGATCTTTATT